ATTATGATGCCATTTTTATTCTGCTGTGAGCCGATGTGATGTGGACAAAAGTGATTTCATGCATTTTGTAATTTCTGTTCGATGGAACTGTACCATTTTGATGAATACTGCGAGACTCAATGAGGACATTGACCGGGCTGTCCGGGGAGTATGTGACATTCGACCAGAATGCCGTCAAAATGCATGTCGAGTTTGATTTTTTTGCGACCATGAACTGGGAAAATTGACAGTTTCGGCAAGTTAACGGTGTTAATCAATCAGTTTAGCAATTTGGGAATGGTTAATTTTGCCTGAAATGCTGAATTTTAAAATTTTGATTTGGGCATGAAAGACACGTAACAACTTGAGATTTCGCGACAACAGAAACTGCGGAGAACAGAACAACAAAATACGTAGTCACGGAAAAGTCGGACGAAAAATAACGACGAACTGAGAAAATATAGTGATTGACCACCATTCCGAGTTGTGACGATTGTGCAGCTACAATCGTTGCAAAGCAATTCACGAGAACCAGGAAGGATGTTGGGACGACGTGACCAGCCTTCCGGAAAGAGATAAGACAGCTCTTCGTCCGGATCCAAGAATCCGGAAGGGTCTCCGGAAGAGAACTCAAACATTATTTTAACTAACTTTTAGCTTCCGGTCATGTCCTGAGTTGAAATAATAACATCTAAATTCTTTTTCAGATAATGAGAAGCTAGGAGTTGAGGGTAAGTGTTGATCCATCTCCGATGGGAAGGATGATTTTTATCCTGAGCAAAAACAATAGTATTATAAAAAATAAGTAGTAGCCCTGTTTTTAGGAGAGAACTCGTGGTCTGCCATACTGAGACACAGCCATGAGCTCTCTATTTTCGCATGTAAATTAAATTAATCTGAGCGTTCTGACCAAAGCCCAAATTAAAAACTTTTTATTTCGACCCGATGTTAAAAGGACCACACAAACAACTGGCTTTGGCAGAGACGGTTAAAACCATGTAGAGCTGCGTTTTTTTTTATTCCTTCAAGGTAATCAGAAGGTCAAAAGTATCATAGTAACCGAGGTTACAGTCATGAGTCCCTTCATCATGTATTCCAGTCAAAATCATTGGAATTTTCTAGATATGGAAGTGATAATGATAAAAGAAGATGACAAGTGTTTAAGTCCTTTTCAATTAAAATCGATACGGGTTACGTTTCTTCAATAAGAACACGCAACTCGACACGAGATAACATAATATACAAGTGTTACAAGTAAAAAAATTTCGTCGAAAGTTATTTTGTCATTTATTAATCCGAGTACGCAAGCGGCGTTCGCAATTTGTATTGCCAGGGAGATTCTCTGTTTTATAAAGCTGCCTGCTCTGGGTTCCTCAGTGCATATGCTTAGGTTCTTACAAAGCTTGCTCAAACACACTTCTGTGCTGGGGCCGGCCGCGACCTGAATTTCAAAAGCTAGCGGTTGAAAAAGATATCCATCATTTACAAGATCTTTATACTTGTCAATATTTTGCTCTTCCGCTTCAGCGACAGCCGTACTAGGGTTACAAACAGACCCGGCATTAATCCTACAAGGAGCTAAGGAGTCTACTACCGTTACATCCCACAAAAGCTGCCTACCATCAGCCCATGGAACGAGCGTCAAACCGTCTGGTCGCTTCTGATCGGTCCTGTAGAGGTGTCGTGGTTCTAAAACAGACAGAATGTGAGTAGATGATAGACTCTGCTTTATAAGGGCATTCAGGTTTGAATGCCTAGAGAATCTTCCTGCACTTTTGAGGCAAGAAAGACCATGCCAACCATCCTCGGTAACGTCTTTTCCGCACACACATTTATGCCGTTCGCATATTTTTGATCCTAATCGAAGTCCTATCGCAATTCTGAGTTGTTGGTTTGACAGTTTTAACCTTAATTTTTTGCACGGGATGACGTTCAACCATTGGGAGCCAAATCTATCTTGGAACGCGTTGAACCTTTTTACGTCCGTTGGTTCGAGTCGTAAAATCAAGTCTGCAATTTCGCTGTCAAAAATTGGTTCCAACCAATTTTTTTGGATTTCATTTTCCGGAGCCATTTCAATTTTTCCAAGGTCAAACCACCGTTTAAGCGCATCATCATAAGTTCCATCCACATGCTCCAAACCAAAGATTTCGCTCAAGGCATCTTTTGCTCCTACTGCTGAGGTTAAGAAAGCGGGTAAAGCGAGTAGACGAGCGGAAGAAACGCCCAAGCCACCTTTGGCTGCCGAGAGAACTGCCTGTAAAAATTGGTTATCATCCATTTTCACGTTAGTGACCTTGCATAACGAATTTCTTAGTAATTTATCGTAGCGTTTCAAAAAATCATTTTGCAAAAAACAAGGGCTCGTACGCAAAAAATATAGGAGTTTTGGCATGGTAAAGCAATTTTTCAGGACAATAATGGGCGTCTAGTTTGTCAATGACAACCGAGATTTTTTTAAGCTCCTTATTTTTTTCGTCGAGCAATTCTTTTCGGCAAAGTTCGCCGATTGGAGATCCTAAAATGAGGAGTTCTTCTTTTGTTTTTATTTTTATTTTGGGGCATATTTTTGAAATTGTGTTAAAATTGAATTATACTGTGTACTAGTAGTCGTTCTCAAAAAACATAGTTCACACTTCTCAGTGTTTAAGCTCAGGCCGTAAATTTGTTCCGATTTCAGAATGTTTTTAAGGTCCCGGAGTACTACCTTATAGTCGTCGGCTAAATTCCCATTATCTAAATACCAGATGTTAATTTTCGACTCCAACTGTTTGACTAGTGTATGAATTGTTTCCGCAAACAGGGGTGGGGCTTCAGGATCACCTTGCTGAGTTCCGTCTTCTGACATTATGACAGAGCTTCTGTAAAAAAGGTAACTAGGTTTACCATACGCGCAATGGGTGTATTTATACATTTCGGGGCGATTTGAATAAACATGATTCAGCATTGTTTCTCTGTTTAAAGAGTTGAAGGCATTCTTAAAATCTAGTTTTAAAAGAACAGTTCATTTTGGATTGTCGTCGCGTTCAATTAGGTTTCGAAACGAGTGCGCAGCTATTTCTGCTCCTCGTTTGGTACTGCATCCTACCTGTACGTTTCCGAAAAAATTTGTCGCTCGGAGAGGGCCTTGCTTCCAGCGCATTTAGACGCGATACGTCTCAGCGTGTTGCCTATGGCAATCGGTCTCAAACCTCCGTCTATCTTTATGAGGGCGATAAGCCTTGCGCCAAAAAAGAAAGGTCTTAGTGGTTCGGGTATTTTGCCATCTCCAATGAGGTTTATCAGCTCAGTAAGCGATTTCAGAAAATTAAGTCCTGCACTGCTATTCGACTTACTAACAAGATCTTTAAAAATTTGAGGAACTATTTTTATCAGGACCTGCTGCTGATCCGTTTGGAACGGACATTATTGCTCTGTATAGGTTGAAATCGGTTACAAAAAACTATCCAACTTTTCTGGATTTCGAGCTGCAAATTTGGCTCTTGAGTACTCGGACATTTGAGATGGCTGTATTAACATAATTGTCTAGCACTAAATCATTACCTATTGTTGCTTTATTAACAGATTTTACATCAACGCATAAAGGACACTGAAACCATTGGGTTTTCTTAGAGTCGCTTAGAGAAATATTTACACAACTGATATGATACCAACTAAAACAACAATCACATCTAATCCAATTTATCAGTCCTGAAGGTTTTAAGCAATCTTTTTTTGTACAATCTTTGTTGTTTTTCCTCATCTTGACGCAGCATAAAGGTAAAAAAAAAGATTTTGACTGGACTTTAGGGGACTGAACTAACCCATGATAAGCGGTTAGTGGGAATTTTAGAAATCAGCAAATAAAAAAAAAGACAACTAAAATAATTTAAATTTTAAAATCGAATTATAAAAATCAAAAACAAGGAACAATCTCACCCGAGCTCAGTAGGTCCAGCTCGAAATTGTATTCCGAGCTGCGTTTAGATGCTAGCCAGTCGTTTTATAACCTAGCTCTATTTTCCGTCGATATGTACTTCCGGGCGAATGTTACACTTCGGTGGTGGCGTTTGAAAATATAGCAGTGCGATTGATCGACCAAAGTTTGGCAGCGAAGAGGGTAAATTTATGGTGAATATTTTCATGTTAGCTGAGCGAGCAATAAACTGAAATTTTTTTAACATAAAAAAAAAGTGAATACCATCTTTATAAAACATTTTAGCACTTAATTTAACGTTTAGATTAGGGGAAAAATTTGGATTCTTGGAGGATAAAAAGTATTTATAAGGTGAAACAAAGAATGATTTAGAGCACCAAGTTTTCTATTTTAGAATCGATTATTTGCAGAGAGGATGATTTTGTGGTTAATAAGCACATTTGGGTTAAACTTATGAGTTATCAAAATTATGAAAAAATCTCAAATCATTGGTAAAGTCGGAAATCATAGATGATTTATTTTTAAAGACGACTTCTATGGTAACACGGTTCAGTTTCTTCGAGGGTTAGCGCGAGACGGTAGCGGCAAGGTCGGCTAGCTTTGCACCTCAGTACGAGTGAACCGTGGCTCCGACATCTTTGGGGCTGCTGTACTTAGCCCTCGAGGTTCCTTTTGAAAGTTTCCTGCTCCATTTGGGTAGCCATTTCGGCCTATAATTTGGCACGGAAATTCACTTTACAGGGTACAAAAGAGGCAAGACAAGAGGAAAAAATAGATTGTAAAATGGGTTGAAGAAAAATGGAATTTAAAAACAAAGAACAAAGAAATGAAAGCGATTACACCTGGTTTTTCAAGGGTTGAGGGTCCGCGGGGGTGTCCGGGTAGAAGGGGAGGATCGCGGCTTGACAAATTTGTCCCTAAAATCCCGTCCCGGGCCTTCTTAAAAGCGTACCATTATCGTCATATCACTTGAAACTATTTAATGAGTTTATCTCAACAATTAGGCTAAACCAATACCAAATTTAGGCTTATCCATTTCAAAACAATCCAATATGTTTTGCTGAGAAAACCTCCCTCCACTTTAATCTACATTTCTTTAAGATATGTGAATATGGTTTACCAACACATGACGTGGTTTCGCTTAATCTGCTGTTCTCGATTTTCTCTTGCTTTTCTACAAATGACTTCAGATGTCCCCGACGAGTTTTATCAGGGTCCAGAAGTTGCCTACAGCCTTGTTTTTGGGGAAAATTATTTCACATGGGAATGGGATCACCAATTACGAAGTTTTATGCATCCTTTGTTTTATGCGCTTGGTTTTAAATTGTTACAAAATTATTCGATAGATTTTTCTATTTTGTTAGTTCTGTTGCCACGCTTACAACATGCTCTTTTGTCAGTGATTGCAGAAACTATGTTTTGTCTCACGGTCAATCAAATGTACGGAATGCCAGTTGCATCATGGACAGCATTTTGTCTATCCACATGTAGGTTGGCCCCTTCTTTTATATACGTTTAAAGAAGTAGATTCTGGTGGTGGCCAGGCAATAAGCAGAATGTTCTAAGAGCAGAATGGGCCCTAGAGCAGAAAACAGAAAAATCAATTTTTAAAAGCTAATCGGTAAATTAAGTATAAGAATTGTCAATATTACCAAAGAAACGAATATTCAATGCACAATTTGAGTAGCTTTATCAAATCAAAAAAACTTAATGAAAGTATTCAGTTTATGCATAATTTATTCATTTTCTTTATATTTTTGACGATGCTAATAATTGTTTTATCAATTAGCCCGTATAAACCAATAAAAGTCAATATTTTTTGGTTTTTCTGCTCGGACCCATTCTGCACATGGACCATTCTGCTTATTGCTCCGCTTCTTCTATGGTCATCGCAGTCCAGAATACATAATTTTCCTGCAAGTACTAGACGGGAATCCTAAAGCTATGAGTTTCATCGCGTGTCTCTACAATAATGAGATTGCGAGAGTAGTGTATTAGTACGAACCTTCTTTTTTTCTAACCGAACTCGCAAATTGAAGTGCTCATTAAAAGTTTTCAATTATTTGGTGGCACTTTTGCTATAATCACAATCTGTAGCATTGGAAATTTCATAGCATCTGTTCTCTGGTTCATTTGTGCCTAGTGTTTGTCATTTATTAAGCGTCCGTGGTTAGTGCGTGTTGCTCCAGTGCGCATGCTCCAAAGCCTCTCCGTGTGCCTTATGAGAGGAAATGCGAATCTAGTCTTGTGCAGTTTATTGCTTTCTTTTTTCTCATCTTACCTTTTTGGTTCTCCTTTTCCCCTCTTTTCTGATGCTTGGTTCTCTCCTTGCTGGAGCTTTTTCTTTCCATTTTTTGAATGAATTTTCTGAGACATAAATTATCGATTAGTTCTTACTAATTTTTTTGTTCTTTCCAGGCTTTTTTGAGACTTGTTTCTATTTTTTATTGCATTTTATAGAGCTACATTTTGCGTGTTCTCCCTAGTGTAAAAGCAGATTATGCGGATTTTATTCGAAAAACTGTGTGATTTAGAAGCATACGGAAGGTAATACTTCAGATTTTTTTACCCTTGCAACCGGTTACAGACTTTTTTCCTCATAAGACGGCTCAAATTGATGATCTTCTCCAAATCTAATTTTTCGTCAACTAACAGACAATTCTGAGCGTGTCTGCATTTAAATGCCAGTAGTTAAATTTGGAGTTCAGCCATCTATACATAAAATGCGCGTTTTTTCGTTTCAACATGTATTTCACCAATTTTGAAATTAGCAACCCTGTGGTAGGGTGCAGTCATGTTTCTCCCTTGACTTTCGAAATTGGCCTCCAAATATGAATACCCAAGTTTTTCTTTTTACGAGATATGACATTTTTTGACTTTTTTCAATATGTTTCGAAAAAACTAAGGTTTTAATATTGTTGAAGGTTTTGAAACTGCCAAATCTTAAGTTGGATGCCGTTAGTGTATTCTCTGGAGTTGAAAATCTTGCCTCCAATTGGGGTTGCTCAGTGTTTTTTTGAAATTCTCATCCCATTAGTTTGTTCCTGTCAGAATATTTTCAGAGTTTGCAAATCCTGCCTCCATAGGTTACTGCTCAAAACATTTTAGTTTTCGAGATATGAGTTGTTTCCGAGTTGGCTTTTTATCCACCAGTTACGCATATGGATTTTGTACGTATGATTGCGCAATCTTTTTTTTGCTTCCGAGATATGAATTTTTTTTTGTTATCTCACAAAATTTTGGAACCTAGATTTTAAAAAATTAAGTTCAACTTTTAAAAAGTTATTTTTTTTCGAAAACTCTGATGTTTTTTTAAAGTAAATAAACTTGGTAAAGCGTTAAATCGCACCAATCAATAAATGTATTGGGTAATTAAAACAAATGATTAACTTAAACAAGAATCTAATTGGAGAAATCTAATTTTGATTTGAAAGTGCAGTTAAGATTTTGACAATTTGGAGGTCTTATTTCTGAGTGAATGCGAAGATCTGAAACCGAGGGTATTTAGAGATATGTTAATTTTTAAGTTGTTTAATCAATGAAATAGAAAGCATTCAATGTTGATATTCTTCATATGTTTTATAAATAGACATTTTTTTCGTTCATCAATCTGTTTGCAACACGGGTTTAACAAGAGGGTGAAACTTACCAAAATTGTACGTCCATTTATTCAGCCTAATTGTCTAAATTGCATTACGTTTCAGTATATGTGCGAGATCTCGGTTTGCCAAAGCAGCTATGCTGCGTTAGTTACGCTAGATTTTATTTTAAAACTTTGCCTCAACGTTTGTCTGCTCAGGTATGGTCAGCTTTGTTACCGTTTTGGTAAGTTGGGGTTTGATTCTCAATTGGCATATATATGTCCTTGATGGCACAATTTGTTTAGAATGAATTTTATTCGTGACAAAATCAAGACGAGGTAATGACAATCTTGATTAATAGATTTTCCAAATCAGTTTTTTCTCTCGTCCCGTTTTGGCCGACTAGTTTGCCGGGCTATATTTGTGTTGTATTGGAAGTCGCCTTTGTGTGCAAAGTTGTTTTCTGTGTGAAGCGAAATTTATGAGATCATTTTTTCTGAGCATCTGGTTTTTATGATGTAATGAGTGGTTTTATTAGATTATACTATAAAACAATGTGGCAAAATACATATTTGCTATCCTAGAACCAATAAAACTCATACAGAAGCCAAATTTTATCCAAAAATGGTATGTTTTATTGGAAAGCGATTGCAGAAGCCAAATATTACTCAAAAATAGTATACCGCAACCGTTGGAAGCCGAAAGTTTTAGCTACATGACAACTTCAATTGAAGACGAGACATGACTTGATATCAAAGTAAATTGAATCTGGAGAGAAAGCAAATCGACTCTTGAGAGGAAAATTATGTTTTCTTCAATATTAAAATCTCTAACCTACTTGCGAAATCATGTCCAAAAACCATAACAAACGTCTTCAAATAGCACGATAGCATAAAACATCAAAACACCAACAATGTATGAACAAAGTCGCGAATAGCTCATTCGTGCCTTTAGTTTTTGCCAACCCGAAGAGGCAGTGCAAGGCGCAACAAAAACCATTATAATCAGACGCAAAATTTATGCGGAAAACGGCATGATGTTTATTGCGGCTGAATAAATTTTATCAAAACAAAATTTACAATCATAAGGAGTGCAATTTTTAGGTCAAAAGTTTTGACCTAAAAAAAATCTAAGCAATAGAAATTTCGTTAAATGCTATTTTAGAGGAGGGTATATTCTGAAAGACAATTCAGGATGCTTTTATCTTCGTCTTAATTAAATGCTTCCTTTGTTTTAAATAAATTTATGTATATTGAGGGCACAGGCCTATTTCACTATTGTGCCCCTCTGTGAAAATTGTGAAGAGGCTCTTCCATCGCCTTCTAATAATAAAATAAAATGTGGGACAAAATAAAGGCACGAATGAGCTGTTCTCGACTTTTTATACATTGTTGGTGTTTTGATATTTTATGCTATCGTGCTATTTGAAGACGTTTGATGGTTTTTGGAAATCATTTTGCAAGTAGGTTAGAGATTTCAACATTGAAAAACAATCTGCTAAATGTTCCTCTCAAGATTCCATTTCTTTTCTCCAGATTCAGTTTACTTTGAAATCAAGTCATGACTCGTCTTTCGTCTTCAATTGAAGTTGCCATTTTGTGAAAAATTATAGGCTTCCAACGGTTGCGGCATACCATTTTTGAATAGCTTTGGCGTCTGCATTCGCCTTCCAACGGTTGAAACATACCATTTTTTGATAAAGTTTGGCTTTTGTATGAGTTTAATGGGTTTTAGGATAGCAAATCTGTATTTTGCCACAATGATACTATAAAATAATCTCATAAAACTCATTACATCATAAAAAACAGATGATCTCAGAAATTTTGCTCACTAATTGGATCCAGTCCTGGGGTAGGCAGGCACCCCATTCAATTTGGCTCAAACTATAACCTCGAACACTTATATAGCAGAAGCCTTTAGTAAGCAATTTGCAACTTCTAGGAATCATGCCTCCGACAAGTTATTCAGGAAAACTAAACGCAAAATTGCCAAATTTTCTCTGTCTGATAACCCGTCTTTCTCTCCCCAAAAAACTAAACAAACTATTGCGGATAGCAAACCCTGACACGCAATCGGTCCGGATGGACTTTCCATTGTCCACCTTTAACACCTCGGACCTCTTGCACTTGACTTATTTGCTTGACATTTCGCTGTCTTATAATTTTATCACCAAAATGTGGAAAAACTCCAAGGTAATCCCCTGCCCAAATCTGATAAAAGACCATAAAGTTTCCACATCATACAGGCCTATTTCACTACTGTGATCCTCTTCGAAATTTTAGAGAGGCTCATCTATCGCCTTTTAATAAAGCACCTCCCAAATGCCACACACCAACACGGTTTCCGCGCATTCTACACCATCACAACCAAACTCTCCACCCTTGAATTTTTTCTCACTGATGTTTTCAATCAAAACCGCCCTCCCCTACGTACTGTTCTCACCACACTTGATCTTTTAAAGACATTTGATATGGTATGTCATAGAACACTAGTGGAACTCAATCATGAACACCGCTGCCATGAGGTATAGTTCGCTGGCCGAGCAACTATTTATGTGACCGACAAGCCACAAACATTTTTAACAACAAAGTATCAAACCAAGAAATTGTTCCTTCTGGAGTTCCCCAGGGCTCTGTTTTTATCACCGATTTTTTAAAGATTCTTACGACCATGACGCCTCTCCGCCCCTAAAAATGTTCGACTCACCTCATACGCTGATGATTTCCACCCCTTCACCCAAAACTCCGACGTTGAGGCAGCATCACGTTCACCAAATAATTATCTGCACCACCTCTTAAATTTCTCATCTCCCGTAAGCTAGATATTGTGTCCTAAAGGATCAGTTACCTTGCTTTCGCCCTGCCACGAAGAATTTAACAGAACTCTAACTGTCTTTTTAAACAACGAGCTTCTCCATCTTAATAGAAATCCGAGAATTGTAGGGGTTTTTTACCCTACCCTTTGCTTTGCAGCTCACTGCTAAAGATCTGCTGACAAGGTTCGTCACACGATAGTGCTGAAGGCGTTAGCAGGCTCCTCTTGGGTCAGTCTAAAGAAATCCTACGTTTAATTTACAAGGCTTTATTTCACCCTATTTTTGATAATGCCTCTCCGGACTGGGCGAACGCCGCCAACTAAATTTATTTTAATCACCTGCAGGTCACCAAAATTATGCCCTACGTGTAATCACTATCTTCCACTCTTGGACACCCTTTATCCTCCAAGTTTTCAGTTTCCCTGTTTAGATAATCTGGCAACTTAGTCTTTTCTCTACCCTTTGCGTATAAGGTTGAGTTTGGATTTCGCAGCACTACACTCTGAAGTATTTTGGTTCGAATGAGTGAAGGAGTATTCTTCATCCTTCCATACAATACCGTATAAATAATTGGTTAAGTAATTAAAAGCTTCGTTCTTATTGTGTTATCAGTGAAAAATGACGTGGTGGTAAAAAAAGGTTAGACTGTCAGTGTAAGCGTTTGTTTCTATTGCGAGTTCTTTCACTATGATTTTGTTTTTGTTATAACGGAAGCCTTCATTTCGACTGATTTTTCACTCAACATTCTAGTAAATGTTAAAACTACCTCTTGAAAATTTTGATGTACATGCAGAACACCATTCACGATTAATGTCCAATCAAGCTGATATTGCACTTCTAGGGTAACATATACGAATATGAAGGTCCTTCATGGCAATTGTCTTCAACGAACCCCGCTATGTCATGTAGAATTGCATGACGCAAAATTTTTGAATCACAAAGTTATCCATCGATGAATTGTCAATACTTATCAAGCCACCGTAGAGTCTGAGTTCCAAAGTATTTTCATAGTAAGTCTCATTTGAGTTGTAAAATAGAGAACAAGCTGACCAGTGTTTTCAGGGTAAGGTTTTTTAAAGGTAAGATAAATTTCTTCGATTATCTCTAAGTCTGCTATTGTAACCATTGGTTTTTGAAAGCGTACCATTTTGCTATAACAGATTACCAAATTGATTTTCAGATCCTAATTATAATAACCCAAATCGGATCTCATCCACTGGAAATGCTTTCCTAACATTTCACAATCTGTCCCAACAAGTTTTTCAGAATTTATTCATTTTTGCTTCATGTTTTCTCCAAGTTGACTTTTACACCGAATATTTACCAGCAAACACCAATTTCTTTGATTCAGATGTACCGCTAGTTAATTGAAGAGTTGGAAAGCTCAAGTTAAACATATACATAACGATCCAGCGTATACATAACGCCAGGTATTTTCTTACCTACTCTTTCTGTATACCATCTAGTACCATCGCCTATATTTTATTCATTTCATAGGACTGCGGATCATTTCTTATTATAACCCAAAACTCTCTGAAAACATTATTTAATACTCTACTCTCTGTTAAAAACCGCAGGTCCGATACTTGGAGCCATAATTTTTTCTCACGGAACCCCAATGGGTGGTTTTGTTTTTCCAACGGTACCGACCTCTGCTGTGGTACCACACCCCTCCCCTGTTGGAGTAATGGCGGAGTACTACTCTCCATTCAGGAAACTGAGCTATCTACTGCGTAGCTTAAGCACATTCTTTGCTTCGTGGTATTTACAGAAAGATGCTTGTGTTTTACTAGAGTACATTTTTTTCTTACCTTACTCACATAAATTAGGGCCTAACAAAAGTGCTCTCAGTGTCTTTGTACTGCTTATGTGCTTTCGAAGTTGGCATGACTTACGTTCCAGAAGCTTTTTCATGTGCTTTTGGAGTCTGTTTTTGTCGTTGTTTATTGCCGGCTTTCGCTGAGTTCAGCTCGGTTGGTTTTGAAAATATCTGCTATCTACAAAACTTTGGTCGTTAGTTTTTCGGTGTTTAGTTGAATGGCTTTGGAATAACTTTCACACCGTTGAATAGATGCCAAAAAGAACGAAAAAGTTATATAGACAAGACAGCAGATATTTTCAAAACCTGCTGTCTGTATAGTTTATTCTTGGGTTGCCATTTTTTTCGCATAGGATTGCGAAATGTTCTTTTGGCCTTTTTTTCAAGAGTCGGCGTTCGTCTTGAAACTCTTATATAGGTCGAGAAGGTTTTTTCGGGAAAAGTCTTAAAATTTGCTCACTATCAAATTTGATTTTTTCACTGTTCGACTTTTGATTTTTAAAGTTATTAAGAGTCAGTGACGTATTGAAGGCTCTTATATAGGTATTGAGTATTTTTTTTTGGTTTTTTAAGAAATTTTTTTTGGTTTTTGGTTTTTTAAGAAAAAAAGGTATTGGCTATGTTTCTATGTTTCTAACTAATTCTGCTAATTTCTAAGTTCTCGTTCGTTTCAGGCATATTCGCAAACCACTGTTTCACGAGAACGCTGAGCAATTCGCTGGAGACTTCGCTTATGATGATAGCATTTTCCTACTACCCAGCTTGGAATGAAAGCTTCTTCAAGGCGCACAACCGAAAATTGAATTTCTTGAAGTATCTTATCTTCAGTGCATTGGCATGTTATGGTGAGATGGTTACATTTAAATGGCGTAAACAAAATTTTTTGACTGCCACGTTGAATGCAAAAAAAAATAAATTCAGTGTATACGTCGCTTAAATAGTTTATTGTATTAATTGTCAAAATGAATGCAATGTTGACAAGTCATAATGAGGGATTGAGCAAAAACTACGTGCTTAGAAAAACTACGTATGTGCGACAATCCAGAAAAAGTAATGAATGCTTCTAAGTCTAAATGCGTTATTTGAATTCAATTTAATTTTATCTGCTAAAAGTTAGGTAAATTGCGCTCTCCCGTTACGAAAGTGTAAAGGTCACAAAAAAGTGATCGACTTGTTGTTTCAAAAGTTGCCATCGTTTTTTATAGGTTTCTTAGCGAACAAGAGCTGTAAAGCCAGATATTTTTCACTTTGAAATTATAAAATGAAGTTTTTCAAAAAGAAGTCTCTTTTTCTCTTCTGTTTTTTTTTTTCGTTCATCGACTCTTTTCCAACTAGCTGTTGGCTATTTTTAATTGACAGTAAGTCTCAGGTCGGAAACCAAGTTTCAAAACCCAATTTGAAACTATTAATATCAGCCAATGGAAAAATTTTTCATTGTCCTTAATAAAGAAATATTTTTTCTCCAGTATATATTTGCAGCAAGCAGTATAACTTAAGTTAATTGCACATAATTAGTTAATTGTACATAATTGGAAATTAACAAAATAAAAATCATGGAGGTGATAAGCGAACAGCTTAAATGATGGCCACTTTAAGCCTGCTTTTGAACATAATTTCAATCAATTCAATTTAATGAATCAAAATTAAAATATCAAAAAAAAAATATATTAATTTTTATAATTTTTATTCCAAATTTTTGTAGAAATGTAGAAATGAGGTCAAATCTAAAGAACCTGAAGATACCAACAAGACATCCGCAACTACAAATCAGTTTCAGTCTCAAAACTTATCTGCCTTTTGGCTCTCAAAATTTAAAACTTCATCAAAAATTTTCTGAATAACAAACCAATCATTTTTTTATTGTGAGGAAATATCGAAGATCAAGGTCAGAGGCCGGATTGCAACACAATAACTTGAACTTGAAAACTAGCGTTTTGTGCTAAGAAAATCAAATGTCAGAAGATTCGCAGCCCTAGGGGAGGGTTCTCATGCTTGAAGGACCAAATGCTTGAAAAATTTCAACCAATCAAAATCGCTAAGCGTTTCTATTGGCTTAATGCCTTTCTCACAAAATCGAAGTCAATATTAACAGAAAATGTATTAAATCAGTGGAAAATAATCAAAAATATTACAAATTGCGGGTTTTAACCTCAATACTATTCAGATAATCAACAAGATTTGTGAGGTCAAAATCATAAGAATTTTTCAGTCTTGAAAACTCATCTGCTTATTATCTAATCGGTCATTATTAACACTAATGGCCTGGATTTATTTTCTTACTTCGAGATTTTCGCGATTTACTTTGAGATTTTGAATACTCAATTCTGATTGGCTGAAAGTAAGCGAAAATTAATTTCAAGCATTCGGTCCATAAAGCATGAGGGACGCCACCGCAGCCCTATTTAGAACTTTTGTCACCACCAAATTAAGAGTTGATAAACAATAATTATTGAAATTATTGTGAAATTTGAAGTGGGTAGGTTCTAATTTGTGTGGAAAGCTTAAATACATCGAAGACAAAGTTCCTTCCCATTTTCAGTGCAGGCTGGCCACTTGGTTTATATTTATAGACTGGTGTATAAAATTCATTATTTGGTCTATAATTTTTTTGAAGTCTATATTGTAGAGACCATCCTCAGGGATTCGACCCCCTGTCGACACAAAGGGTCCCCCTTTGTACTATTTTGAGATATCCATTTTTGGCTGACTGACCCTAAAATTTTTGTAAAGGTGCCTTGGGCGCCAGTATAGACTAATTTTGAGGGGGGAGCGCGCACCGAAAAAACGCGATTTTGTGGTCAAAATTTTCCAAAAGTGCCTAAAACGTTTTTTTTTTTTCAAAATTTAGCCTGCGGCGCTGAAAAATTGGGCAAATTTATCATTTTATTCTATCGTTTCTTGAAGGTCTATATTTTTTTGAGAAATTGATGGCCAGCCTGTTTCATTGGTCTGAATTACAACTCGGTAGAATTCTGATCGTGTGCGTTTCACAAAGGGATGCGGTGACAGCCCCCCAGCTATCCATATATTTATTAAAAATTTAAACGAAAGTAAACCTTAGTCGAGAATAAGCGAGTGCCAATAGAATCAGGAGAAAAGGCACCACAGACAGCAACGTATCAGAAAGTACAGTTGCGGTTGTCTGAAATATCGCAAACGTATCAGAACAACAATATACACCCTGCAGGGATAAGTGTTTAACACCGTATTTCTAATCTGCTTAGTTGTTTTCAATGTCTATTCAATTTTTTGTTTCCTATAATTTTTCAATATGAAATAAAATCAGATAAAAACTTTTCGCGCTTCATACGAATCGTCGCTTGATACTAATTCTCGCTTAAATGCAATTCGAATTTTCTCCCTTAACGGATCGTGGCTTGTTACGAACGTCCAGCCAAAAAAATAGTATTTACTGCCATTCACTGTTTTTACTCATTCCAAGATACTCATTAAGTCTTATTTTTCACTCTTTTTTGTAATCAAAACATTGCCGAAAAGCTTTAGGCTTTGTTGCAACTATTGGAAAACATTTTAGTTTTTCAGTGGGGTATGCAATTTTTATCTGTGCTTGGAATTCGCTCAGCTTATGCCTGCAACTAAAAGGAAAAACCTGTAATATATTTATTTATGTGCTTAAAATTGCCTCAGCTTACCTGTCATTTTTTGGAATCTGGCTCTTGACTTCATTTGAACTTATTCTGAAACCTTGGCTTTGTTTAGCTCGTCCTACATCAGCCATTTTGAGTGTTCCAATGTCCTTGTACTGCCTGTGGAATCTGGACTTCAAAGCAACGATGGTGTTCCAAATGGGAGTGGTCGGAATAAATGCTTTGATCTGTCAAGTGGCAATTGACTCTGCCCTGTACGGAGGTGGCACTACTGTGTTTCCATTGTGGAACTTCGTCAAGTTCAATTTTCTGTCTGATAGCAACAAAGTCAGTTTCATTCTTAGTGTTTAATGTACATCGTTCTACAATAATTGTCCTGGAGTGCATCACTTGAATTTTTATAAAAGTAAATGAGAAAACACATCTTGATTGGATTTTCCTTGTTCAGGTTGATTATTTTGGTTCTCGTTTTTGAAGATATTTCGTGGCTTTGGGTGTATTCACGGAGTATTGTTAAATAGAGCTAAAGTGGATGTTTTGTTAGGTCAAGTTTGTAAACAGAATATCGTCTCTGAAATTGGCGAATATTGCCAATGATATGATTGATCCTCTTTCGAAGCTCCTAACAAAGCAGATGAAACCTAAAAATTTTATTTCAAGGTAGTTTTGGTTTCCTATGAGCTTGCAAAAATGATCAGTAATAATTTTTGTGAGATATGCTTATTTTGACGAGTGATTTTATGAGAAACGCCTTGAGATTTGCAGATCTTCGGCGTGAACTCAGTGTTCTGGTACATCTACGCCGGAGTTCCTGGAGTCCTGGGCACTTTTCTGCCCTTCTTCCTCCTTGGAGTCTACAAGTCCTGGCGCGATAAGAGAATGTCGAGGCTGATGTTGTATCTGATTGTGTTGTCAGTGGTGTTCTACAGTATTCCGCCTCACAAGGAGATGAGATTCATTCTACCAGTGCTGCCTCTCATGTTGGTCTACGCTGCCTACTATTTCGCTAACTGGTACGAAATAATAACATGACTGCTCGTATCAGGGCCAATCCCTGAATGTTTCGACTGCCTTTTTTAAGGTCTATTGAGCTGTAATAACAAGAAAAAATTTAATAAAAAAAATGAAAAACAAATTTAAATTTGAGTTTTTTTTTTGTGAAAATGATCCCCCCACACACGCCATACAAAGGTCGAAGTTATCGGTTTCGCTCCTAATTGTAAATCAATTATTGCAAATAAGCTTCAAAAATTTGGAACTATTTCTAAGACGGATTAAATCTCCGCTTACGCTTCATTAGCGCGAAATATATCATCGCGCCTTAGTTGTCCCAAAATGGCAATCTTCAAACCACTATAGCTTTACAAAAAATGAGTACATGTGAAATATCTTTTCAAATTTAAACTCAGGATAGCAATACCGTTTGAATGATAAAAAATTCCGTCAAAAATGACAAGAGAAAAAGTCGAATTTTGTCTGAAAGAAAAAAAACACCCCGATCACAATTATTCCGTTACAATCGTTACGAAAGTCGGATTAATAATCATAAAGAATAGTAGTTTTTAGGTAGAAGTTACATTAAAGCTCACAAACTGACCTTTAATTAAATTAAAAACTTCCACAATATCACCATTGGATTTATAGATCCGTTTTCAGGTTCTCTGAGCGGAAAAATTCATTCCTATTTGAGTCTACGAATTGAGAACAATGTCTGTAATGAAAAAGTTAGTTCATTTATGTTCACGTGAATTTAATGTTTTTTTTTGAATATCCTGTTAATGACTTCTAAAAAAAAGAATGCTCGATAATTTTGGTTTGAAAAAGCTCCAAGAAATGCTCCAACATGATATAACAGCGCGATAAGAAACCTTGTTCGCTAAAGGAAAAAAATGCAAAAAATTTTTATGCGTACTAAATTTACGGCTGACAATGAACGCTACAAAAGCGTTCGAAATCAGAAACAAACTGATAGCGGATACTCAAAAAGCGTATCAGAGTGTTAAAATTGATAGATTACTAAAAGTCAAAAAACAAGACAAGGAGTTCTCAAGTATATTAAGAGACTGCGTGAACCTAACATAAAAAAAACTCTCAGTTAGATGCAAAACAAACATACGAATATTTTTCAAGCATAGGAAAGGATATACAAAACAAAAAATACAAAATATACAGAACAAAAAATAAAAAAATATTTCGTTTTCAACCGCTTTGCCAGAATTAACAAGTTCCCTGTTCCTCTTCCCTGTGGGAAATTCAGAAATTTTTGAAATAATTAAATCATTAAATAATTCAACCGCTGAAGGTGTTGACGGCATCAACAGCATTTTTTTGAAACTTTCATCTCCCGTTCTATCGGAATAATTATCTGTTCTTTTTAATAAATGCTATAGCCAAGGTTGTTTCCCCGCTTCTTTCAAAATTGCAAAAAATGTTCCGATTCATAAGTCTAGTGACAAGTCAAAGACATCTAATTACCGACCATTATCACATCTGAGTGCCCTCAGTAAAGTTCTAGAGAAATCATTATCCCTCAGAATAACATCTTTAATTGATAAGAAAATCTTATGCGATTCCCAGTTTGGGTTTGGCTAAAACTTTCATCGCTCCAAGGAGATCTAAAATTGACAGAGTCCATCATGAAGAAAATTGACGAAGGTTATAAAGTTTGCAGCGTTTTTTTAAATTTAAGTAAAGCTTTTGATACAATCAATCACAAAATAATCGTATTTAAGCTTAACTGTATGGGCATCAGGGGATTTGTTGGCGACCTAATTAGTTCTTATCTCAGTAAACGTAAACAATTCGTTGCTATTGGGAAGAAAACTTCTAAGACTTTATTTATATCGATAGAAGTTCCGCAGGGTTAAATTTTGGGTCCTCTACTTTTCATATTATTTATTAATCACATGGCGAGTTGTTTTTCGACACCAAATACATCTGTGGGTTTGCATGCAGATGATAGCTGTGTAACTGTTTATTCAAAATAGGACCCGAAACTTTTAATAAAAGAAGTGCTTTCAAAATTTTCTTCTAGAATGGAAGTCAATCGTCTGAGTCTTAATATTTCGAAAACTTATTTTTTGAAAATCAATGCAAATCGCTCAAAAAAAGTTGTATTTGATGGATACACAATAACGGAAGTGGATTGGGTAGAATATTTTGGTTAACATATAGATAATCGATTGTTTTTTCAATACCACGTGTTAACTGTGTGCAACAGAATTTCGAAATTGGTAGGGTTTTTAAGATTTTCCAAACAATATTTAAATCAATCTCAGAGAATTAAGAACTATAATTGCTACGTTAAACCGATTATAGAGTATGGTATGATTGTTTATGGTAACGTTTCTAAAAATGTTGTACAACCTATTTTTTGTTACTCCAAAAACGCGCGCTTAGCATAATTTACAATAAACCATTTAGGTTTCCCAGAGACAGCTTGTTCCAGCAATCGAAGATGTATACTATATGCTCGTAAACTGTTACAATACACAGCAGAAACTATTACACCTCGTAATTTTATCTCAGATTGTATTGTTACTCGAAGTCGTAAATTGTGTGTGCAACCTTCTTTCTACTGTAAAACTGAAATAAGAAAAAAACGAAATGCATATAGAACGAAATGCTAAGTTTTCAACAATTTCCACAGACTAGAAATTTTCCCGTCGGCTAATTCATACCAATATATCATAAAACGGACAATTGAAAAAATTTCAGAAAATATAAATACAAGGTGCAAATGACGTGTTCGAAGTTTTCTAAAAAAATTCTAGTTTGACGATATCTCCACACAAGCAATGCTTGTGTTATAGTATGAACTACATATTTTTTCCAACCGAAGTCGCAAATGTTGTTGCGACGCAAATATTATTGCGATAAAATGAGTTCATTTTGAAAGTGTTCACTTTGATCAGTAACCAGCTACTAAGTACAGCCAATGCTAAGGATTTTAGACATTGACTATTATTGTTTTGACTTTCCTAACGAAAGTAACGGAATAATTGTGCTCGGAGTGGTTTTTTCTTCAGACAAATTTCGACTTTTTAAATGTCATTCGATTTCTTATCATTCAAAAAGTATTGTTGTCCTGAGCTTAATTATGGAAAAATTTTTCACCTGTGATTATTTTAAATAAAATTATGGGATTTTTAAAATTGTCATGTTGGCCAATTTGGGACAATTAACGCACGATATATTTCGTGCTATTAACGCGTAAGCGGAAATTTAATCATAGTATTTAATTCAAATTGGTTGAAGGAAGCTTATTTGCCGTAATTGATTTATTACTAGGAGCTAAATGTATCACAAATGTATCACAAAAAAATCTAAAATTAAAATAAAAAATTTCATTATATCGCCATCTTCATATGACGCCTTCACTCTATCGCCATCTTTAGGATTTTTCAACGTAATATTTTTGTTTCTTTATTAAAAGAATTTTTTCACGTTTAAGGTATATCGTATATTGCTATGGTTAATGTTTTTTTTTTCGATTTTCCAGTTTAATTTTAGTGTTTATTTCATCAAGATTGAAGTAAGCAACCTAATATTGGGATGTTGTCAGTTTTCTCCCAGATGCTGTCAATTCTGGCCTCAAAAACCTGGAAAATCCCAGGTTGTCAGATTTTTCCCAGGTTTTGCGAAATATGAATAACCAAATCCTTTTAGTTTACGAGATACGCAATTTTCGAGATTTTTAAAAAACTTCTAGATAATTTAATTTTAAAAAAGTGTCTCAATTTTTGAAATTCTCACTCTGTAGTTGGGTGATGTCAGCGTACTCTCCAAATCACTTCTCAACCTCGAGATATGACGTTTTTTATGATTTTTTCAAAAACTTAAAATTTAAAAAATTCCAAAACTTTGAAAATCTCATTCCTGTTGTTGGATTATGTGAGGGTACTGTTAGGGCTTGGGAATCTTGCCTCTGATTATGGCTGCTCAAATTCTTGTAGTTTTCCAGATATGACGTTTTTAGGATTTTTCAAAATTTTTGCAGAAAAATTAGATGTAAAAATTTCACAAAATTTGATATTCGCATCTCTGTGGTGAGGCTCTGTCAAGGTACTCTCAGGAGTTGCGATTTTTGTCTCTATGACTGCTCAAATCTTTGTAGTTATCGAGATGCGAAGTTTTTTAAGATTTTCTCAGAAATTTTTTTAGATGTTAAACTTAGAAAAAACTTAGATGTTAAAAAATTCCACAACATTGAAGATATCATTCCTGTTGTTGGATATTGTAAGGGCACTTTCAGGGGTTGCGATTCATGCCTCTAATTATGGCTGCTCAAATCCTTGTAGTTTTCGAGATATGACGTTTTTTATGATTTTTTCAAAAAGATTTCAAAAACTTAGATTTTACAAAATTCCTAACCGTTGAAGATCTCATTCCTGTTGTTGGATAGTGTGAGGGTACCCTCAGGGGCTGCGAATCTTGTCTCTGATTATGGCTGCTCAAATCCTTGTAGTTTTTGGGATATGACGATTTTTTAGGATTTTTTTTCAAATTTTTCAGAGATAAAAAACTTCACAAAATTTTATGGTTCTTCAAAATTTGTATACAAAATTTCAACAAAAAACTTTGCAATAATTGTAATTACGATCCTTGTAATTGGATGCAGTCAGAGTACACTCAAAGAATGCAGATCTAATTCCAATAAATGCGGTTTATTATGAGTACCGGAGGTGCGTTAATGCTAGTTACATTTAATTTTTTATGTTTTTTTACCGCGCCATAGACTGCTCTATAAATTGAAGCATGTTAGTTGGTAAATTTCACTTTTTTCAGTTTGACTGGTACTGCTTATGCGTCATAATTGGCGTGCGTCTCCCAAGAAGTTTTGATGAATCAAAGTTTTACTCCCTCTGTTTTTCCCAGTAGTGTTATCGGTCATATTTTTGCTTGTTTATGCGAAGTGCAACTTCGCCTCTGTGTTTTAATTTTAATACGCAACTAAGCTGATTTTTTCTAGTAGTTTCGAGGGTAACAATGATGTAGTTTTTAACAATGGCTTTGTTTTCAACTTTACCCTGTGCAAGTAGCAGAACAATGATGTAACTTTTAACGGTCTTATTTTGAATTTTATTTTGTGCAAATAGTCTACCAGTAAAAAGACAATATTTTGCCCTAAAGTATGTGCTATGTAAATTAACTTATTTGTGAGCTCAAGCATTTATTTGCTGCCTGGTTATTTGATTTATTCAGTTAACTTCCTTTTTTATCTTTTCTATTTCGAAGTTGAAATTAAAAAAAAAAATTGTTCGCAATTTTTTTTCGGTTTCTCATGATTTCATTAACACTTTCCCAACTGTGTGATGGCTGTTTGTTTCTGCTTGTTTCAGTGCATCCTACCGCGTGCAGAATCTATGCAGATGGAGTCTAGCTTCAGTAAACGCAATAGTCACTCTCTACTTGAGCATCTATCACCAGTCAGGATCAATATTTGCGGCACACTACTTGAACATCCGACTTAAAAACACCATAGCGCCTTCAGCTGCAATCTTAACACCATGCTACACTCTGCCTGGAAGAACTCACATGCATATCCATAATTTGACAATCCGAAGTTTAGATTGCAGGCCAAATTTGGACCAGAAGCCAGACTATTTGACGGAAACGCAACAGTTCATAAAAGACCCTCGTGAGTGGACAGTTGAAAATTTTGGCTCCGAAAATACCTTTGCAAATTTTTCGTACTTGGTTATGTTTGACTATGTTTATCCTTTGATAGAGGATTTGCTGAATCGTGATGGATTTTTTATTGATAAATATTTCCATTACTCTCATTTTGCTGATGAGAATGACGGACAAAGTAAAATTTTACTTGTTCTGGCATCCACAAATAATTTATGACATGACGATCAGAATTGATCTTCCTAGTGCAATTATTTTGATGTAATTGATGAGATTGATATGAAGCTAATTTGTACATTGTGAATTGACCTGCTTTTTCAGAACTGACAGTTTTTCGCTGACACTTTGTATGAACCAACTTAACGCAATTTTGAGTGACCTATGTATAGTTAATGCCAAATTGTTGGCAATATTGGTGACCTGGAACATCTTTATTGGTCCGAAACTTGCATTTCACATTAATTAGCTTTCTGATACTCTTTTAACGAGTTGAAGTGATTCCGCAATTGGTTTCCGAAGTCAAATGAGCAGCTTTAGGTTAATTCGCTTCGTTAAGATATAAAAATGTAACCGAAGCGAATTATAACCGAAGAGTACAATACACCAGCAGATTTAGGGGGGCAGGGTGGACGCCCTCCCCCTACCGACCCAAAGTGTCCCCCCTTTATACTATTTTGAGATATTTTTTTGGCTGACGGAACCTGAAATTTCTTAAGGCGCCAATAAATAGTAATTTTGAGGGGGGAGCGCGCGCCAAAAAAACCGCTGTTTTTTTTTGGTCAAAATTTTCCAAAAAGTGCCTTAAAACGCCTTTTTTGGCTTTTTTTTCAAAATTCCGTCGGCGCAAAATAGGGCCTTTAAAGTGATTTGGAAAGCTCAGAAAATCAATTTGGTCGACCTTAAAAAAAGGTCTACAAAATCACTTGATATTTCCTAAAGTTTCCCGAATCCAGTGTTGCTTATTGCACTTGAACGATGTTCTGAAAATATTCGATTGCGAGCTATTTCAGTGGCTAATGAGTTATTTAATTTTTAGATGTAGTTTGGGAATCTAGTTCCTCATATTATAAATGATTGAGTTACGGAAGCGACCGCCTAACCAGGCCAATTTAACAGAGCTGAAGAAAAAGCACAGAAAAGAAGTAGTTAAACTAATTAACAAGCCAAGAGATTCATTAAATGAGTCCGAGTTGAAGCTCTTAGATGCTTCATCTGAAATTGTCAAAAATATCATGCAGTCTAAACGTTCCAAGCAGTTAAGCATATCACGACAAAATATCGAAGTTGACAGTGATTCGCTATTGGCTAAAAAAATTGACCAATTAGCTGGGCTCATCAGAAACAGTTCGTGTTGTCTGATTTACACGGGAGCAGGTATCTCAACATCATCAGGACTTCCCGACTTCCGGTCTCGGGAATGTGGTGCCTGGACAAATACGGATACAGTCAAAAACTATTTAACCAATTCAGAAAAATCTCCTTTTGCTTTAATGAAACCTACTGTTTCGCATATGTGCATACAGGCTCTGGTAGCTCAGGGTTTAATCGAACATGTTGTTTCGCAAAACTGTGACGGTCTTCATTTAAGGTCTGGAATTCCCCCTGAAAAGTTATCAGAAATCCATGGCAATATGTTCACGGAAGCGTGTACTGAATGTCAGCCTCAGCGCGTGTTTTATCGACGTTTTGACGTTACTGAAAACACGAGTTTCCGAAAACATCTCACAAGTCGTGTATGTCCAGAATGCAAAAGTCGTCTTCGCGATACAGTCGTTCACAGGGACGAGTATAACACTACCGACTACCCTCAAAACTGGGTGAAAGTTGACCCTTTAGCCCAAAAAGCAGATCTAGTTGTATGTATGGGATCAAGAATGGATATCATTAAGTGCTACAAACGACTCTGGCGAAGTCCTGGAGTCGAGAAAAAGAGATTAGTCATCATAAACCTCGGTTGGACAACAAAAGATAAAATATGTAAACTCAAAGTCAATGGCAATTGTGATCAAGTTATGAAGTTACTGTGTGAAAGGCTAGAAATTCAGCCGGGCGAATATAGCGTGAAAAATGATTTGCTGCTGCAACTCGCTTGTGATCAGTTCGAGGGCTTTAAAGGTGCAGATGGGATGCCTTCGACTCCTGATATTTATAATGAAAGTCAAATAGCCAAGTCGAAGGGTTATGTTCCCGGATGGATGCGAGTTATTCTAAACAGAGTACACGCCGCAAAGAAGTAAACTTCTTCCAATTTTCAGTTTTAAAGTACTCTTTTCTGTTTTATGTATTTCTCTTCATCAACTTTGTACTTTTTATTTTGTTCAATTTTAATCATGAATTCAAACTTATTTTTTGTTGTTTTTGTATGGATCTAGCAAATGTTTTTTTTTGCCTAAGAGTAAATAGTCTGCATTTCAGATTTGAACATGGCTGCTATCTCGTTGAAGTTGAACAGTCAGACAGTAAGAACTATATTAAGCTCAGCCGTGGCCAACCCTCTTACCATCACATTTAACCTTTACAAATCTCTTGGTTATAGTGAATGTGACCTAATACCTGTGAGTGGTCTAATTGCTCCACAAATGGCCAACAGCGTGATGCCCATGATGGGTTTGAGTGAGAAACCGATTATCCTGCGTCTGGGCTATCCTGGTCGAAAAAAGACGGTCAAAATACAGCCGTATGTTGTAAAAGATTCCGCACTTGACAGTGTCATTGGAGTGCAGCTCATAAGTGAATTTAACTTTGGAGAAAATTCGGCGACCGTATGCGGCATTAAGACTCCATTATTACCAATAGAGAAGTCGAACCACTGTGTCCTGCCTGGTTTTGAGGTGGTGAAATCTAAAAATATCTATTCGAGAGATGATGAAGGATATGTCATCGTGAATGTAGATGGAGCTTGCTTAGGTATGTAAAATTTGCTTTTTACCCACTCACAAATACTTGTGCTATACGACGATTTACTTTCCAATCCTGTAAAAAATCCTGACTTATTATTATTTTTGTTTCATTTTTAAAGCTTCATTTTGACGTTTTTTTTGTTTGAACTACTCCTTTCTAACGGATTTTGTCATAGTTTTTATCAGCATATGACATACTAAATGCGGCTTTGCGTTATTTTGTACTTCTTTCACTTGCGAGAGCCAGACTTTTTTCCCGTAAATTTCTACTGCTGCTTCATATCCGCTGACATGCTAAATTTCTTCAAAAACTCAAATTTACCTATTTCTGTGTTCTTTTCAGGTTATAATTAATTTTAGAGTTATTTAATTTGAGTTTTGTATTGAGAATATGCTAATTTTTTTGGGGTTTTGTGGGCGTCGTCCTAATTTCTGTCGGCTGATTTTCCGTTTTTTTCATGAAATTTGATTTTTCCCTTTTACGCTGTTCAAGCAGTTCCTTTCCGCAAACTGAATTTTCTAATTTTTGATTCGAACAGGTTGATAAAAACAAGTATTATGAAAATACATGGTATTTGCTTTTTTCAATTTTTTTTAAAACAAAACATTTCTCAAAAATTACTGAAACGAATTTCGAAAAAGTGGTTCCAATAAAAAGTGACCATTCTTCTGTTTGCTTGCATATTATCTTAGTCTTTTTCTACCTTATCCAAATTTCTACAGCCTCTGAAAGATTGTGTGAGAGGAAGTTTTGACCTTTTTTTTAACCCTGGCGATAAGCAAGGGTATTGCAATCGGGTAGTAGGCTTTTCCCGTAAACAACTTTGTTAACAGATTTGTAATTTTACTAGGAATGGTAAATATCACTTCTGGCATGCTCAAGTTCTTGAAATTCAAATGAAACTACTACATTTTTTGTACTAATTAGCTAAAGACTGTTTCTGTTTGTATTTATTTTTTCAAATTCGTGGTTTTCGTCTTAGTTTCCTTCGGTTTAATTTTTTTTAAAGCACATTTTTCAGCTGGAAGAGTTTTGGCTTACTTATAAAAGCATTGCTTTTTTTTCTAATTTTGATAGTTTTTGTTACTATTACTGAAAGTTAAGTAATTTGTAATTACTGAGTCTGATTTTTTTTCGTTTTTTTTAAATATTAAAACAGGTTGTTTTTTCGGCTTAGTCAACTTATGTTGCGTAGCTTTGAGGGAAAACTCTACTCGTATAGCATTATGTGCTTCAGTATGGATGGGTCGTAAAAACTTGTAAAATTAATTTTAATGACAACCTGTGGCGGAACACTACAGCCAGTATTGAAAAAAAAATTCAATTGGGATAATGTGAAATTCGTTGTTTATGGGGAAAATACAAATAAGTTAATTTACATAGTACATACTTCAGGGCAAAATTCTCTTTTTACTGGTATTCTACTAGCACAAAATAAAGTTTGTGCTAGTAGAAACTTTACCTTAGTCTTTTTCTACATGATCCTGATTTTCACATTATCCCAATTTCTTAAGCCTCGGAAAGATTGTTTTGAAAGAGGAAATTTTGACCCATTTTTAACCCTGGCGATAAGCAAGGGTATTGCAATCGGGTACTAGGCTTTTTCCCCATAAACAACTTCGTTCACAAAATGGTAATTTTAGTAGGAATGGTAAATATCTTTTCTGGCATGCTCAAGTTCTTGAAATTCAAATAAAGCTACTACATATTATGTACTAATTAGCGAAAGACTTTCAGTTTGTATTTTTTTTTTTTCAAATTCGTGGTTTTCGTCCTAGTTTTCTTCGGTTCATTTACTTTTTTTAAAGGCACATATTTTAGCTGGTAGGATATTGGCTGACGTTTTAAATTTTGGTTTTGTTCTAATTTAATAGTTTTTGTTACTATAACTGAAAGTTCAGTAATTTGTAAATTACCAAGTCTGATTTTTTTTTTTCCAAATGTTGAAACAGGTTGTTTTTCGGCTTAGTCAACTTATGTTGCGTAATTTTGCATTATGTGCTTCAGTTTGGATGGGTCGTAAAAGCGTTTAAAACTTCATGAATATTTTATGACAACAGTTTTTTTGGCTTTTTTTAATGTTTGTTTTCCACTCAACAGGATTCGACCCAAAATTTGTCGCCTGTATGCCGCTCAGTAAATTATTTACCACTGACTATTTTGTAGCGCAATGTGAAGCACAGTTCGAAGTTTTTAATTTTTTTCAATACTGGCTGTAGTGTTCCGCCACAGGTTGTCATTAAAATTAGTTTCAGTTTAAAAGAAAATTTTGGGTGTTGTTTTTTACGCGTTTTGTCATTTTTATAGATTAGTTGGCTTTGTGTTTTGCAAGTGATGCGAAGCTAAGTTTAGCCTCTGTGTGGAATTTTCCATTTTCTCGATAACTACACGTTCAAAATTGTGGTGTTGAGATTAGCAGAACAATGATTTAACTTTTAACAATGGTCTCTTTTTGAACTTTATTTTGTGCTAGTAGAATACGAGTAAAAAGAGAATATGTTGCCCTGAAGTATGTACTACGTAACTTAACTTATTGTTAATTCAAGCATTTATTTGCTGTCCGGTTATTTGAGTTTTTCAATTAACTTCGATTTTTATCTTTTTCTACCTTATCTCAATTTTCACATCCCAATTTCTAAAGCCTCGGAAAGATTGTTTTGAAAGAGGAAGTTTTGACCCATTTTTTAACCCTGGCAATAAGCAAGGGTGTTGCAATCAGGTACTAGGCTTTTTTCCCATAAACAACGTCGTTCACAGAATGGTAATTTTAGTAGGAATGGTAAATATTTTTTCTGGCATGCTCAAGGTCTTGAAATTCAAATAAAGCTACTACATATTATGTACAAATTAGCGAAAGACTTTCAGTTTGTAATTTTTTTTCTCCAAATTCGTGGTTTTCGTCTTTGTTTCCTTCGGTATATTTACCTTTTTAAAAGCACATTTTCTAGCTTGTAGGGTATTGGCTTACTTTTCAAAACCTTGGTTTTGTTCTATTTTTATTAATTTTTGTTACTATAACTGAAAGTTCAGTAATTTGTAATTACTGAGTCTGATTTTTTTTTTCGTTGTTTAAGTATTAAAACAGGTTGGTTTTTCGGCTAAGTCAACTTATGTTGCGTAGTTTTGACGGAAAACTCTACTCGTATAGCATTTTGTGCTTCAGTGTGGATGGGTCGTAAAAACTTTTAACTTCATGAAATTTTTTTGCTAACAGTTTTTTCGGCTTATTTTTATGTTTGTTTTCCGCTCAACAGGATTCGACCCAAAGTTTGTCGCCTGTATGCCGCCCAGTGAATTATTTTCAATTGTTTTCAGGGCTGTTTTTGAAATTCATCCGATACAGCAATGGTGTGTTTGTAGCTGTATTTTCTTCAATGTTCAAGTGATTTTTTTACCACTGAAATTTTTGTAGCGTAATGTGCAGCACAGTTCGAAGTTTTTAAAGCTTTTTCAATTTAGTTTCAGTTTAATTTTTAATTTTGGAAATTTTGGGTGTTGTTTTTTGGCCTTTTTGTCGTTTGTTTTCTCTAGTTAGCTTTGTGTATTGTAAGTGGTACGAAACTCAGTGTAGCCTCTGTGAGGAATTGTTTATTTTCTCGATAACTACCCATTCAAATATGAGGTGTTGGGATGAATCGAAAGCACGTGTTGTGGTAAGCTTCCCCGAATGAGCGGACGCTCCCAAGTTTTTTTCCTCTAAAAGTGTGATTTAAATTATGGGTCTTAAAAATGTTGATTTGAAATATATATAATATATAGCTTGAAATTTTTTTGACTGGTTTCGTGTTTGGCTTAATGATGGTTGACCAAAATTTTTTCGCCCTAGCTGACTCACGCTTATGATTCTCAATATTTTTATAGGCTGTTTATGAATATAAATCCAGCCACAGATTTAGACTGTATATAGTTTTTTCTACATTTTTATATTTTTAATTTTTTCATATACAGATATAATTTTTTCGACTAATTTTGTCAGCTTATTTTTCAAAAATGTGACTTATTTTGTCTATCAATATCTCATTATGCAATGTTTTTATTGTGTCGTTCCTCTTCGCTTCTGTGTATTAAGTTGATGTCCTTGATCAGTTTTCTGTCTGTTAAGTTGATGTCCTTGTCATTGGCCTATCTCTTGATCTCGATAAATTAGACCCCGAGAAATTGCATTTAGATCCAAAATATTTGTTTTGTTTATTAGCGAATTCGAGATCGTAGTTCTTCCAACGCAAATCGTAAATTGTAGTTCTCTTTTTGCGCAAAGCTTTGTACAAAAATTATGCGTTACTTTTTCAGAAAATTTTATAGTTATATCACTTTATTAAAGCGATTTTTTTGCAGAATGATGTCGAAAATTCAAATAAAGAAGATGTAGTTTTTTTGCGATTTCTTTTATAAAGGTCGTGATGTTTTTTTTCGTGTTTTTTCCATAAAAGTCTTGAAATTTGTTCACGCTCAAATTTGATTTTCGGCTGTTTGACTTTTAAATTTTAAAATTTATTAAGAGTCAATGAACTTAGTGAAGACTGTTATATAATTATTGAGTTTTTTGTTTGTTTTTTTTTAAGGGAAAAACCGTAGAATTTGTTACGCTCGAAATTGATTTTTCGCAGCTTGAAGCTCGATTTCTTTTTAGGTTCAATTGTAATTTTTTTTGTTAAAAGAAAGGCAAATTGCACTATCGAACAATGAAAGTGTTAAGTTCAGAAACATGTAATCGACTTCTAGTTTCGAAACTGGATTTTAGTTTGTAGATTCCCTGCGGAATGAAAAGGTTACTTATTGATCCAGTTTTCTCAAATAGGGCTAATTTGATGTAAAAAAGTGCCCATCATTAGGAGTTCTTGAAATGAAAAGAGCTTTGAGGCAACTCATTGTTATTTTTTTAAATTCGAAAGTTTCATGTTTTCAAAACACAAATCAGTATTTTTTTCCTGTTTCCAAGGTTCATTGACTCTTTTCCAACTGTCTGATGGCTTGTTTATTATTTTCTTTGTTGATAGAATGAAAAATCAACTATCAAAAAGCAGAAACATAAAAGTTCGTGAAAAACGTAAATGTTTTTTAATTTCAAAATTGGACTAATTTTTTGAATTCTCTGCGGATCAATGGGTTTTTCTAAATGGGATTATTTTCTGAAAAAAATCTGCCTCTTTTAAACAGTCCCTGAAATTCTAAAGAATTTTAATGCAATATATTTTTTGCTTCAAAATTTGCAAGTTTTCGAAATTCGGAAAAATCTGATGAAAGTTATTTAATATTAATTCGCAGAATTTTTTTCTGGAGCTCCGTTTATGTAATTAATCGAGTCGGCTGAAGACGTTAAAGGTATGTTTTTCTATCTCATGTGACTGTTTTATCTGAGCGATATTTTTTGTTTTTAGGGTTTTACGCGATGTTTTTTCAGAGGTAAGTGGTGATTAATTGATCGCGCCTTTTTTGAGTATTTAAATTCAAAGCTTCCTAAATTTTTTTGTGTATTTTAACAGCATACTTTAACTAATATTGAAGTAAGCGTGAACGTAACTGAAGCCATGCGACGATGGCATAGTGGTTAGAGGTATTTGGCTCGTTAATTGGAGGTATGTCTTTGAATCGCATACTTTTGGAGTTTTGTTATTACTTTTCCAAGGCATATGTCTGCTTTTTTCCTTTTTCACTTTTTTTCCGATCACTGAAAGTGGGTAGGAACTTTGTGCTCGGGTGTATTTTAGTTTTTTTTCCAAGCAAAATGAGGTAGCACAAATAATCATAGGAATGGGTCGAGTGATGTATGATATTAAAGCACTTTAAAAAGTGATTCGAACGACTTTAAACATTTTGAAAAGTTTTTCGCCGAGAAAAACCGGTTTGAATTTTTTGTTTTTGGTGTATTTTCGAGCAAATAAAGCGAGCGGGCAGGATTATATATGATTAGATTATGCTGTTCTTAATTGCTTAGTTGTGCTAATTTAAGTTTAAGTTGAGTAAAATTAGTTAAACGCAATTTTGTGAAACAAAAAATTTCAGCAAAAAAATTTGAAAAAATTATGATTTTTTTTCGATTTTCTTTGTGTTTTTTTTCTACAAAATTTCATTTTCATTTCGCATATTTTACTGTGATTTTCGAATCTGTCTAAGTTAAGCTTTTTTGCTCAGATCCTTTTCACTTTGAAAATTTTTTATTTTTTAAGACTGGGAAAATTCTGTACTACTTGCACGGTTTATGGCTATCCTTGTTTTCACCTGTATTATTCATTTACTACAACATAAAGGAATTAGGTTGAATTTACTTCAGGTTTCTAATTGAAATTCAAAAAACTTAAATCTGTACTTTTTGTATTGATATTATGCGTTGTGCATTTAGGCAATGGACAGGAAAACGCAAAAGCTGGAGTTGGTGTATTTTGGACAGACAACCACCCAATGAATGTAAGCAGGCCAGCATCTAAGGCCACCAACAATATTGCAGAAATCGAGTCAATGTCGATTGCAATCAAAGCTGCATATAATGATGAAATATCTAAACTACAAATACGAAGCGATTCTAAATATGTTATAAATTGCTTGACCAACTGGATTCCAAATATTTGGATCAATAATGGCTGGAGAGATGTCCGGGGGAACCAAGTTAAGAATCGAGGTCTACTCGAGGAGTTGTACGAACTGTACAATAACAGATTAGAGGACATTAAGCTCAAATTTGTCAAGGGCCACAGTTCGGACTACGGAAACAACATGGCCGACAAACTAGCTAAGGATGGCGCCAAGCGATTTTGCAACATTTGAGCTCAAATAAACTGGCTCAAAAGTAGTGGTCACTTCGGTTTACAGCTGATTTGCTAAATGTTCTATTTAGCTGAAAACAGGGAATTGTAAAGATTAACTTGAAGGCAAAAAATTGATCTATATCTTGAACAGTGATAATTTATAAATTTCCAAGAAAATTTTTTCTGTTTCAGAAGTGCAATTGAAAATTTGTGTTGCAATAATAGCTTTATTTTATGATGTTTTGTGAAAAGAACAGAAATTTGAGTATGCATTCAGACGAAAAACAAATCAATTACCCTATGTTTAGAATAATTTCGCAAACCTCTTGATTTGTTAAGAAATTAAATAGCGAGCCTTAAACTACCTTTTTTAGACGGGCATCATTGTCAGTAAATGGAAAAAAGTAAATACTTTTTTACAAATTTTTTAGCTCTTAATTAAGAGTAATGAACGTAGTGACTCTTTTATAGGTCTTGCTGATTTTTGTTGATTTTTCAGAAAACAGTCTTAAAATGCTCTAATAACTACAGATAAGCATTCATACATATTGTTGCATTTATGAATGCACTTAGGTATATATGCACTTTGAGTTCAATCGAAATTCATCTGCTGAAAGTGACGGAATTAGCACTCTCCAAATACGAATGTGGAAATGGCGCGATATCTAGTTTCGACAGTGGAATTTCAATTTCAGATTTCCAGCAGAACAAAAACTTTACCTGTTGATCCAGTTTTCTCAAATTGGGTTAATGTTATCAGAGTAGCGCCGATCATGATTTGTTCTAAAAATTCAAAGAGCTTAAAGGGCATCTGTTTTTTCTTTGCAAATCGAAAGTTGAGATTTTTTTCAGCAAATTCAGTGTGTTTTTTATGTTTACTTGCCTTCATTAACTCTTTTTCAATCTACGATTAGCTGTGTGTAACCAAAAAAAAAGTAGGCAAAAACATAATTGCGTTATTTGCCCGAAAAACTTTCAAGTTTTTTTTTTTTAAATGAACCATACAGTGGAGTATGGTTCTTTTGGCTTACTCCGTTTATGCGCGGATCAAACCCTGTAAAGCTGAATTTTTCTTGTTTTGAGGCAAAAACTGCGTGATTGTCTGAAAATACAGACGGAAAGGGTGCAAATGTGTTGGTTCATGCAATTATTGTAGGACAAAATTTGAAAGTTTTTGTACTTGAATTTTTTTCTACTTTGTGCCTTAAAAAATGGAAATTACTTTTTACGGCCAAAAATTTACTTTTTCCCGCTCGTTGATGATTATCGACACACGTGATAATAGCTTGGTCCCCAAGTATTCGTTAAAAGCTTTGTGAAACAACTTAAAAGACAGGTCTAGCTTATCTGTTTCCAGGACTGTATAATAACAAGGGGAGATTGTGATTTATTACGATGAGATCTTTTTCCAACCAAAGTCGCGCTTTTCTTTTTGTTCCGACCGCTGAAAGTGGGGACGAACTTTGTCTATGGGTTTTAGTGTACGAGTTTTTGTTGCTTCATTTTTTCCACGCAAAATCAGGTAGCAGAAACGTTATCAGATAGGTTTGACTCATATATCATATTAAATCCCTGTAGGTCGTGATTCGATCGTCATTGTTGAATTTTCAAAAAAAAATTGCTTCGTGAAAACGCGTTTTGAATTTTTGGAATTTTAGTCTAACTTCGAGCGAGTAAAGCGAGTTAGTAGGTCTTATATTAACTATAATAGTCTAATGCTTTTAATTCAAGTTGAACCTAGAAAATTGAATTCAACTCTGATAAAATTAGTGTTGGATTTTTTTCTCACCGCCTCAGAAAGTTTTTTTTCAAAAAATAAAAAATTTTCTTCTATTTTTTGAGGAAATATATTGTCGAAAATACCTTATTACTATTACTATCGAAACCATATAAATTCTAGTCTGTCCTTCGAATCAACGAACAAAATCAACCGAATATTTAAAATCTTCTCATCACACCACGAACAAAAACAACCGAAAAGTATGTTTTTTTTATTGTTCGCATCGGCTATCCTCATTTTATGCGCACAGTTGAGGATAGCCTCAACTGTGCGCATTTTTAAAATAATACTGCAGCAGATAGCCAATTTGGCTAAGTTAGTAGAACTAACATGCGATAAGGTGTCAACTCGGGAAGTAAAAATCAGTTTAATATTGGTGCCAGGCAATGCCCAGCATGCCAGATATTAAACTGACAAGAACAGATACTACACATGAACTTAGCCAAAAGGCCTATATCAACGTGCTTTAAATACAGGCGGCTCGGCACAAGGCTTAAGACCAGTAACACTTTTTTTAAATAATACTGCAGCAGTCATTGCAGATAACTGTATTAATAGGGTAGTCAAGTTAATATTTTTGGTTTCAACTTATTGTTCGACTTTCGAAGAAAATGATTTGTGCTCGGATGTTTTTTCTCCAGACAAATTTTGACTTTTTAACTAGTAATTTTTGACGAAAATTCTTACATCATTCGAAAGGTACTGTTGTCCTGAGCTTAAATTTAAAAGGATAATTCTACTGTGATTATTTTTTATGGGTGATGATCATTAAGTTATGGGGGTGGAAAGATAGCCAATTTGGCTAAGTTAGTAGAACTAACATGCGATAAGTTTCGTGCTATTAAAATCTAATAACTTTATCTACCCTTGGGGTAAGCAAGGATAATGCAATCGGGTTTTAGATTTTTTTCCCGTAAACAATTTTATCCAAACAATTTTTTCCAATTTCCAGATCTCCATTTTAAGCACGTTGCACTCTGAACTGCAGCAGTAGTCTCTGTGTTGGAAACTGCAACAGACATATTTTGAGCATGTTAGCATTTTGATTATCCGCCCTATTTACTCTAGCGATCAGTTTAGTGTAGAATTACTAACCTTCCTCTTTCTAACCTAACTTGCAAGTAAAAGTGGTCACTTATTAGAAAATTATACTGGCATTGGAAATTGCATAGCAGCTGTTCTCTGCTTTCTTTTTGGCTAGGTTTTGGTACCAATTAAGATTCCGTGGCTGAGTGGTTAGGGTGTGAGACTCTTAATCTCTAGGCCGTGGATTCGAATCTCAGACGTAGCCGATGTTTTGCCAATTCGATGCTTAGCTTATTTCAACTTTTTCTTTTTGCACTTTGAAGAGCTGCTTTTTTAAATCGTGTTCTCGCTCATGTTTGCGAAGTGAAGCTTCGCCTCTGTGGCGAAATTTGCTTTATGGGTTGGTTGTAATTTTATCAAATACTTTTTTTAAATTTCATTTTCTAATTTTCTTTTTTTTTCTGTTAAATAAGTTTCGGCCTAAAGGTAGGTATTTTCGGGCTTAGTAAATTTTCTTCTGATTCTTTTCTTACCTTGTAATGTTTTGGTGTGTGTTTTTGATACTTTTTTTATTCGTTTTGATAGTTTTCGGCATTTCTGATTTTTTTTCGATTTTTGTTCCGATCATTGAAAATAGGGGGGAACTTTGTGTTCGGGTGTGTCTTAGTTTTTTCTTTTTTCTGCTCTTGTCTTCCACACAAAATCAGGTACCACAAATAATTATGAAAATGGCTCGAGTGATATATCATATTAAAGCCCTTACAGTCGTGGTTTGAACCATTTTAAAAAGTTTTCCCAGTGTCTAGATTAACCGGTCTGAAGTTTTTGATTTTTGTCTTATATCGAGCGAATGAAGCTAGCGAGCAGTTTTCTTGTTCCCACTATTGAAAATGGGGAGGAACTTTGTATTCAGGTTTGTCTTAGTTTTTCTTTTTTTTTGTTTTCAACACAAAATCAGGTCCTACTGATAATCATGGGAATGGGTCGAGTTATATGTCATATTAAAGCCATCATATTCGAACAACTTCAAAAAATTCCAAAAAAATTGTCTCAGTATCGCGAAAAACTGGCTCGAAATTTTGATTTTAAGTCTAAATTTGAGCGAATAATGCGAGCGAGCAGGCTTGTAATATATTGTTTTTGCTTAATTTAGGCTGCGAAAACTTAGTTTTATTCAAGTAAAATTGTTTTTGGAGATTTTTTAGCCCCATTTGGAAATTAGCATTATCAAAATGTAAAAAAAATCTGCAATTAGATTTTTTTGCTATTTTGTTTTCTTTGTCAGTTTTCAATTTTTGCCTATTTTACTATGAATGTCGAAACTACTTAAGTTTCAATTTTTCGTTCAGATCTTTTTATCAAACCACGCAGAAAATAACGAACCTAAATTTAAAAAAAAAATTTGTTGTATATTTTTTACTATGGTCGAACATACTGTGCTACTTGCACAATAACCGGCTATCCTTGTTTTTTTTCGATGAAGTGGCTGCGTGTAAACATTTCCAAAGCGGGGTTTTAATCCATTTAGAAATCATTTTTAATCAATAGGTCGTGAGATTGTGATGATTCATATAGGTTGTGATGATTTTTTTTCATGTTTTAGGAAAATTCCTAAAGCTTGATCACGCCAAATTTGATCTTTTGTCGTTTGACTTTTGAAAGTAGAATTTAGTTTTCAGATTTTCCAGGGGAATAAAAGTTTTACCTATTGATCCAGTTTTCTCAAATTAGGTTAATTTTATCAAAAAACTGTCAATCATAACTTACAAATTCATTTTTTTTCTGTTTAATTGCGTTCTTTGACTCTTTTCCAACTGCTTGATGTCTGTTTATTTTTGTTTTGGTCGGAGTTTGGTTTTAGTGACAGGGGGCCTTGAATGAAAATGATTTAAATGTCTTGCCCGTTATAACTCCCCAGTAGTTATACACCCCAAGTTACAAAAATCTCTGCTTGGGGTTGGTTTTTGTTTCGAGCTGCTTAGCCATTTGAGGACCCAAAATACAAAAAACTCTGGTTGGGGATGGGCTATGTTTTTTCGAGCTGTTGTGCCAATTGTGGCCCGATAGTTAGTCTGGTAAATCAAATTATATCTCAGCTTAATTTTCTTATTGAAGTTAACTGGATCTTAAGAAGAAACTGATAGTGAAGTAGGTTCTTTCAAAGACGATGTTAATTAGTAAGTTAGGTGAAAAAAAACTGAAGGATACATAAATCGATTCTAGGAGTAATAGTTGGTTGGTGTAATTTGATGCTTTCTCAGAAATGAACGGTTTTCCCCATATAGCCCCCTTTCCATCCTAGATTACAAAACAATTATAGCACCGCCACCGTATTTATTTCGATGGGGCACTATAATGGAAAAAACAGAAAGAAAAAGTTTTTAGCGAACAATTGTTTTTTGATTTAAATCATTTATTACCCTTGCCAT